GTCTAGTTTGAAAATTTAGCTATTAATTTCGATTTCATGAGCATATTTTGGTTACACGTTAAATATTTTTGTGCTTGATGAGATTCAAAATTTGTTGTATATCCAAGCCCGGCTTTTGTGTAATTTTGGTGATGACCGGAACAGAATTAAAGATATTTTAAAAACTGGCTATAGCCTCACGATAAAACTTTCTACAAATGTTCTCTGTTTCATGTACTTTTATTTGATATCTTAGGTATAAGCGTAAAAATAGGGGCTCTTTTATAGTTTACGAGGTTGTAAAATGCATGACTTGCCTCTATTTTCATGTAAACATTCGAAATTTTTCGACAGCAAAGTAGCCAGCCTAGACCTTCTATTTTTATTTATATATTTTTAATATTCAGCTCGAATGCACGTTCACCAGAGACAATGGCAGGGTACTGAAATAGAACGTCACTAAAAAAATTCTGTATCGTTAATTTAGATCCTGTCCACTTTCAACATAAAACAGTAATTTATTTTGTGCAAACATTTGGCAATATTTACACGATTGTGCCTTTTTGTAAACACGCGTTGCGTGTATTCCTCGCAATTGCGTGGCTCATTTTACTCGCGCATGCTCAGACAAATTTCCCACCTGTTGCCAGGGACCTAAAGTTGCATTTTTCGCAACTGTTCCTGGTTAGGTTTAATAAATGTTTATGAATTTCCACTCGATAATTTCCATCTACAATATCCTTCAATCACAATCAAACAACAAGGAAATTTAATTAAGCGGGAATATTAAGTTCACCGAAATAAGGTTATTTCAGGTAAAGCAGGAATATTTTAACCAGAGTGTATGTAACGGTAAACCTCTGCTGCAACGCAATTCAATTGCCATGATGAACATAAACATTAGTCCTTGAATACCAACTTGGATTGAATTTTTAAAATATTTTTTTCTGCTTGTACTGTTAACTACGTAATATAGTGTAAACATGATAGAGTTTCCCAACGAAAATACAATTTACAATACACCGCCCTTTAATCAACACTGAATTTATACACCAGCTGTCGTTGCACTCGTTTTAGAAAGAAAGAAAGCGAAACATTGCGTGCAAAGAAGCTTCTTGATCGTAGGGGAATTAAAAGCTTCACTTCAAAAGAAGTTTCATATTGGTGTTCAACTATCTCCATCAGCTGACAATATTTATATGAAGTCTTAAATTTTAATTACACCATTCAAAATATTGTTTTAACCAATATAGGTGGCGAATGTCGTTAAGTAATGAATCAAACAGCTCCTTAATTAATTTTAGTGGAATAATTCAACTCCATTTCATATCAATGAATACACCGGCACCTCCTAACCGCGATATTTTTGACAACACTTACGCCAAGCGGAAGTGAATCGTGCCGTTCTACAGTACAGGATGTCCCGAAAGAAGTAGAACTTTTGAAATGAAGCTTTTGTTGGAATTTATTCAAATTCCTTATTACTACGCTGAACCATAGATATCTTATATACACTAGATAGTGCATCTAATTATTCTGCAAATTGAAGCCGTGATTGCAGACTCAGGATATTCCCATGAAATGAGAAGACTCGTATGTTTTCTATAATTTCTTAAACAGGGAACTTAAACATTAAGTTAAACCTATTCCAAATACGTTTTCAAACTATTCAAATGATGAAAGTTATTGTTGTTTTTTAAGCGTTTATTAGTAGCGAGTGGGAAACTCCAACATGGCCGCCATCTATTCAAATGGGGGTAACCGCTGGAATATTCTTGGCTTCAATTTTACTAAAAGAGATGCGCTATCTAGTATATATAAGATATATATGCGCTGAACCCCCACGGGTGTGTAAAACAGACTAGAAGTGATATGACGAATTAGGAATTTGACAATTTTTATGCAGTTATGCTCCTTCATACGATTAGTAGCTATTTTAAATTCCCAGGAGTAGAAAACGGCCTTTAAGCCTGTTTTCCACTTCAACTGTATCGTATAGCATTTTCTTTTGTGTCGAAGTCATTATTTCCATACTACCGCTCAGGAAACAAAGAAATACGCTACGTTTCGGTACGATTGAAGTGGAAAACTGGCTTGAGTGTTCCCAAAATCCGGAGTACTCCGAACAGTAAATGGAGCAGCCCCTAGCATAATGCTCAGGCATTCAATTTATTACAATAGGAAAGTTTCAAAAAGTCTGGACACCCAGCAGATGGCGAGTGATGTATATAGGTGTTGAAGGTAGAATTTTTTTTGCTTCCTTACACGAGCGCTATGATGCAAAATGCCGCCAAACCAATTTTCGGGCGACGTCCGTGTTGAGAAAAACTGGCTTTCTATATATTTCCATGAAATCTGTGGGGTTTATTTTCCAAAATCCTGTATGTCAGTCCCAGGTGTAAAATCATACTTCTATTGGCTACATATTACTATTGGCTACATATTACTATTGGCTATATACTATATACTATTGGCCACATACTACTATTGGCCACATACTACTCATTGGATACATACTACTCATTGGCAACACCGCCTTTCAGCGAAATAATTTTAAAATATTGTTAAAAGCATAATAGATGTGGCCCCAATTAGGAAGCTTCAATTTGTCTTTTTTGTTTGAGTGAATTTATGCCGCATCGCCCACTCTTTTGTAATCTCTGTAAAGTAAACCATGGTGAACGAGGTGAACCTATGTTATTTATTGCACGTGGCATCGCAAGATGGCGCTTTCTATGCAATTTAGATAAAAGTAATGGGAAACATATGTTAGGTACACGAATGCCACAGTTTCACAAAAAAAAAAACGCGTGAGAGCGGTGAGTAGTTTGGGCCAGACACGCGAGCAAGGTTATAATTTCTGAACAACAAAAACATGTGATAAGACCAATTTATGAAACTTAATCAAGACAATCATAACTCACCTTAAATATTTATTATGTCAAAAATTTTGTTTGTTAGCTTGTAAGATTTTTGGCGGTGAAAGGAAAGATATTAAAACGGAATACAAATTAATATTTAGCAATTTGCGCTGAATGTTTTAACAGCTTACGTCAATACGCGTGTGGGGCAATGGAAACCACAAGAATATGATCATTATTAAATAAGATCAAGAGAAATTATCTCATTTCAGGAATGAAAATTTCTCTCATTAGGCGACCTCCTACAATGCGAAAACTAGCAAAATCTATGACCAGAGATGACTTAAGTGATAAACGAATACATCTCCGTCAATTCATCCTGTTAAAAATTGATGCGGATTATAACGAGAATGCAGGATTGTGCGATAAATAAAGTGCTGTGTCATAATCAAAGGTAGAATTAGTTGAAAGAGAAGGTCATGGAGATTGTCACAATTATTTTTCTGCGGGATATTTATAATAAAGGTATAATATAATGTGAAACTGATACGAATTTTTCGGGGTTTTTTTGCAGTCACACGTTCTCCCCGATCCTAGGTTGTCCCAAAATCTCCGTTTATAAACCTGTATTTACACAATTCTACTGTGTGTATTTTCTGAATTTATCAAAGCTATTACTCACGAGTCCCCGATTGTATTGTTTACGCGCAGCCATCATCGTCATAAGTATTACTTATTGATGACTTGAAAGCAGTCGCTGTTGTCGTTATACATAAAACGTATAGACTGATATGGTTTACCATTGGCATTGTAAACGGAGCAAGAATGACTTCTAAAACACCTACATCGACCGTAAACGAACGTTTAAATTGCAATTCTTGGTGTGATTTTAGGTGCAATTTTCTTCGTTTGATGCACGTGAACGAGTAGATGAGTTGTGAATGTTGTGAATATATGTCCCCTCATCTGAACATTCAGAACTCATCCACTCGTTCACATCCATTACAAGAAGAAATCTCACCTGAAGTCGCACGCCTTGAGATCTCTAGTATATAGTAAACGACAGCCGATGAAAATAAAACCATGTTTGCATCGCGGTAGTTTAAATATTTTTGCAGCATTGTAATTTCAGCGTCAAAATTATGTAGTATACGAAAATGACTTTCAACACGGATGAAGATGTCTCCAATTCCTCCATTTCCTCCAGTGACTACATCACGTCTCATCAGCATCAGATAACATGATGAATGGCGACTTTTTCAAGTACGTGTTTAGACATGACTTTATTCTTGATGAATATATATAATGGCAAATGAGCTATAACGATGTTTGGCGGCTTGTCTTTTATTTGGTTGTGTGCATGTCCAAGCAAATATAGGACAGAGCAAGTCTACCTTGACAACACAGGATTGGCGAGTTTTAACATTAATGGCTTTAACTTTCTCAAAACAATATCATAAAAATAGTTGAAAAATAATATAATATCCTTGGCGGCTTTATTGAAGCTTAGCCGATGTAAATGAGTTTTTAGTTTTGTACAAAACGGCACATCACCTATATACTGGCTATATTAGTTACTTAAACCAATGAAAGTTAGTCACGCTCAAACATCCTAACAATCGGAAAAAACTTCCAATATATATACCGTACTGTCCGTACATATATGTGGATGATATAGTCAATGAGATATGCATGAATAAAATATTTCTTATCAAATAATTAATTTTTAATATTTATGCATGAAATATATTGCACTGTATGAGTGTGTTATAAGTGTACTAGAAAAATCTTGGTTAAATTTTTGTGATCGTTTTTTTTTGTCGTCGCTGTCGAGAAGGTCGTGCTTTAGCAGTCGACATTGTCCTTTGCAATTTGTGCTTGACACAGCGTCAATGTCACAATGGGACATGAGATTTAAATTAACATGCTTCTGTTCCCTCGTTACCGTTAGCCGTCAATGATTCCAACTATTTAAATTGCTACATAAATTTGAAATTAGAATGCGAAACGTCTGCTGCGGTTGGGGACGACATAACAAATCATTTTTAGTGACTTACCGTTTTTCTTGTAGTATAATACTTGCACTTTCTTTTCATCACTTCCACGTAAGGCGTCTCTGATCGTTTGTACGGCAAGCGGGTCTGTTCCTTGCCCGCATAAGAAATCACAATTTGTAGAGTTTTGCAACAGTTCTGTTCGTTTATATCCAGTAAGCGTGCAAAATCCATCATTTGTATACACGATAGGTGTGTCAAGCAACTGAGCATTTCCCAATATGAAGTTTCGTTCAGCTAGACAAATAGTGTATAAACATTAAGCAACATATACATACGAGTTATTTAATATTTGAATAAACAAACTAGAGCTGTACTCACGCGAACCATCAAACTTTCTTATGATATTCTCGACGAAAACGTTTTGAGGCGACATATAACCTTTCTTCACGGGCATGTCACTCAGTATACGCGACACTACAACATAGTGTACGAAACTCCTAGGACAAGAATAGAATCACGTTATTAGCATGTGGGCTGCCTGAACTGCAGTGCAAAAGAACAATGTGGTGATTTTACAGTGCATTAATGGCTATTGATTGGTCAACGCATCCAACACAATAAATTACGCGGCGACCGAAATCGCTCATCGTAATATTTTTTATAACTCACTCTCAAACATGCGTTGTTTTTTTGTTTGTAATATTTTGATCACTGTGACCTGCTAATTGTGACAGTATGGTGCATTAAATCGGCGTATTGCGCCCGAGATTTCCATAATAATGCACATCTCAGCTGTTTCTGGCGATAAGGAAGCTTCGTTGATTACGCGGTGTACGACAGCTCATAAACCCACTTCTTATAAAAAACAGCCGCTTTGCTAGTGCCGCGTTGTTCAAATTTCCTCACAGCACTTGTAACTGTTCGTTTTAGGAAGCCCGCAAGCCGATGATAAATCATAGTTCATGAAAAATGTGACACAAACGTCAGACGAAAAGTTGAGAAAGTTCTATGAATAAACGGATGTAGTTATGTCCAAGTTGTCTGTAGATCTGCACAAGAACGCTACATGGAGCGACAGGTCAGAGATTCATTTGTGATACGCCAGTATTCATCAGATTCGTATAATGACTCTGTCCACCAGACAGACGATGCAAATGTTATGTAAAACTGAAACTTGTTATTTTAAGCACACCAGTGTGTTCTACCTGCTGACTAGGGGAGAAAATTTCAAATTGTAATCGTTGTTGAAGAAATCTGCCAAACTTAAAAGATAAACGATGTTTGAGACACATTTATGATAATTTTAATAAATAACAGGAATAAATGTTTTGGACTTGTGGTCGACCGCCTGCAGTTCTTGTTATCAGCATTGGGACAAAGATATCAAACAGTGAGTCTGTCTTCACTCCATATGTACTTCTGGTTTAGCGTGGCTCGGGATAATGTACTATAAAGTAAACATGAAATAACGAAGAACGCGGTCTCAAGGCAAATATCAACAACCCAACAGTTTCAAAAAACATCATCAACAGTAAAAAACCAAAAAGCTTGCTTTTTAAACCAATAATTGCGTGTTCAAAGAATATCTTCTCGGGTTATAGCAAATGAAAATTGTCGTCAAGCACTAGTTCCTGCATATAGTCCGCGCACATCGTTTGACGATGTCACCATGGAGACTCCGCGCAGACTGGTTCCTACAGTCATCAACTGTGATCTGTCATTCTCTTGTTACCAGGCTTATTACAGCGCATGCTGTTAAATGGAATAGTTTTCTTATTACGAGTCAACAAAATAGTGCGGAAAGTTCTAGGAGATTTTGACAAAAGACAGCTAACAGCGCATGCGCAGACACGCTGAACAATAACGGAAACGCGGAAGCTATATTTTCTCAGTAAAAGTCGCCCCCTAACGGAATGTGGCAAGACCTAAAGCTATATTTTCTCAGTAAAATTCGTCCCCTAACGGAATGTGGCAAGACCTAAAGCTATATTTTCTGCAGTAAAAGTCGTCCCCTAACGGAATGTGGCAAGACCTAAAGCTATATTTTCGCAGTAAAAGTCGTCCCCTAACGGAATGTGGCAAGACCTAAAGCTATATTTTCTCAGTAAAAGTCGTCCCCTAACGGAATGTGGCAAGACCTAAAGCTATATTTCTCAGTAAAAGTCGTCCACTAACGGAATGTGGCAAGACCTAAAGCTATATTTCTCAGTAAAAGTCGTCCACTAACGGAATGTGGCAAGACCTAAAGCTATATTTTCTCAGTAAAAGTCGTCCACTAACGGAATGTGGCAAGACCTAAAGCTATATTTTCTCAGTAAAAGTCGTCCACTAACGGAATGTGGCAAGACCTAAAGCTATATTTTCTCAGTAAAAGTCGCCCACTAACGGAATGTGGCAAGACCTAAAGCTATATTTTCTCAGTAAAAGTCGTCCACTAACGGAATGTGGCAAGACCTAAAGCTATATTTTCTCAGCAAAAGTCGTCCACTAACGGAATGTGGCAAGACCTAAAGCTATATTTTCTCAGTAAAAGTCGCCCACTAACGGAATGTGGCAAGACCTAAAGCTATATTTTCTCAGTAAAAGTCGTCCACTAACGGAATGTGGCAAGACCTAAAGCTATATTTTCTCAGCAAAAGTCGTCCACTAACGGAATGTGGCAAGACCTAAAGCTATATTTTCTCAGTAAAAGTCGTCCACTAACGGAATGTGGCAAGACCTAAAGCTAAATTTTCTCAACAATCACTTGATGCACCATGCACTGCTTGAACGATTCTTTACAACTCATTCTCTTGTTTCGTATCATGATATACAGCCAGTTTTTTTATTCTGAGTACCTGACTCTACCCCACACATTGACCCTTACCCATAACCCTCCTGACCTTAACCGGGGCATTGCCTCCATCACCCTAATCGGGGATGACTTGAAAGATATAACAAGAACCGCGGGTCCTTCGTTTGGTAGCCGTATTATATAATCAAATAAATGAACTAAGTACGTCGTTTCATTAAGGTAGACAATGATTACTCTCTCACAAGGTCCGGTAATCAAAAGTATATTCTACTCTAGTTATAGTCAGTTATCCTTAACTAATGTGCTTCGTACAAGTGTGTCATAGTAAGCATGTGGTCGATTAAAAACGTAGCAATCAGTACAAAATGTTATTATCCTTGTACTGCGAATGGGCATGGGGTCTTAGTCAGTTCGAAATGTCAACGTAGTACAAATTACTGGACGTTGTGGCATTGTCTCCAAAAAATTCCCTAACGGTTTCGCCCGACTTGCGATATCATGTCGTCATCCCAGGACTATAAGTCGGAGTCATAGATATCTTATATAAACTAGATAGCGCATCTCTTTTAGTAAAATTGAAGCCAAGAATATTCCAGCGGTTACCCCCATTTGAATAGATGGCGGCCATGTTGGAGTTTCCCACTCGCTAATAAACGCTTAAAAAACAACAATAACTTTCATCATTTGAATAGTTCGAAAATGCATTTGGAATAGGTTTAACTTAATGTTTAAGTTCCCTGTTTAAGAAATAGAAAACATACGAGTCTTCTCATTTCATGGGAATATCCTGAGTCTGCAATCACGGCTTCAGTTTTTGAATTGCAGAATAATTAGATGCACTATCTAGTGTATATAAGATTCTATGGTCGGAGTATGCAGATATAAGACGATGTCAAGGGGGGGGGGGCACAATGTTATATACAGTTAAACAAACTGACCGAACTGCTGTTTTAGCTATTATTCAAACTACATATAAAACAATTCTGGTAGCTTGTTAATATGTTGAAAGGATGAACCCGCAAAATAAAAAAACAATCTGTTAGACTGTTACATTTTGTAACGAGTGTTAAAATATCTAAATTTGCTTCGAAACCGCACCAACTAACTCAATATGCATACACTTTTCAGTTTTACAGGACATTTACCTTAATTTCAAACATGAATCTGCAGAAGAGATCCACACACGTTACTCCGATATACTCACTTTGTTCGGCTGTTTGACAATTTTTCGCGAGCAGTTCTCTAATCAAGACTATTTTGTTAAACGAGCTGTATCAGTATTGCTAGATTTGTGGGAAACTGTCGGAAATGTCCACTCCACTGTGGAATTATTAATTTTAGAATGAAATACACGATAAGAAATACATATTATATGATGACTTTTAGAATGAAATACACGATAAGAAATACATATTATATGATGAATATTCACTGATAACAAAACTTCTAATGACTTTCTTATATTTCCAGACGCCCTTTTTTATATAGATAGATGAGATGAAATGGAACATTCGATAAGAAATCTTTACATTCATTTTGACTTGAAAAAGTTGCTCATATTCAATCCATATAGTAGGCAGTAACTACTGTAGTCAGTGAGTATACAAGTAATAAGTTATTTATGCATATGTTTCAATCATCGACAACCTTCAACTTTAATCATTATATATAAAATGGTCTGAATAATCTGCAACGAAAGTGCTAGGTGTATTCGACCGGTAATGATTGAAACACCTGCTTCTCTGCACCTGCTTCAATGACGACAGTTTCCAAAGAATTTCTGATAATCTCAGCAGAAAAGATTGATTGTAATCATGAATACATGCATGCGTGGACTGCATGTCAATGACATTAAATCGAGCACTGGATAGATATCCGTTTGAATTCAATGCCAGTTTTGAAGCCTGAATATTTATAATGAAAAGAGATTTTTAAATTTGTCAAATTACCCACATTATATGGAATTGTTAGGTGTTTAAATTAGCGTAACTATCAACAAGTGTCTGTCAGCCTGTGTAGCTTCAAAGATTTGGCTTCCCCGCGCACCTCGTCTAATTAAACGAGTCATTAGAACATTTTATACGATAGACTAATGAGGCTTGAGCCGGCCGGCCATGTTGGTGTCACATCATTAGTTATTCACCAGCAATATTAAAAAAGAGGCGACTGATGAGTCGCATTTTATCAGGACTTAACTGTGTAAGATCTCACGCAACTTTTTTCCATGATAAAACCACGAGTACATTAATCCATGTTTTGCATCTTACCTTATCTATTAAATGCATATCTACATTTCAGCTGAACGTGCCGTCATGCAGATAACAACTGGTGTGTTCCAACAACCCGGAATCTAGCATACTAGGAAATTATCTTTTCAATTAATCGATACAAAACAGGGATTTTTTACATATAAAAAGCTGGAGAAGCCAAGCCCTCCGCCCCCATGCTGGCCCCAACCCCCAGAAAACAATTTTGGCCCCTCTAGTGAATATCCGTTTTGTCTGATGATTAACAAAAAAAGGGGGAAATGACTGCAAATGAGTGTTTTTGCAGCCCTTGATAATTGTAAACAATGGACAAGGTTTGAGCTGGACTTTGGAGTGGACTTAAATGTTCTTTTTCCAGTAAGATTATCGCATAAATCCCCAAAATTATCGTGGAAACAACGAAAACAATCTCGATAGATCCAATAGGACAATTTGCGTCGCATTTGCAAGGGGCTTAGCAATGATCAGGGCAATGATAGTTCCACTGCTGGCTCCACTATATTAATATGCCCAATGTATCTACAGGTAATAGAATAAGTTCTTTGTATGATTGCATGGCGATAAAATATATAATAGTTTTGTTTGTGGAAACACCACGTAAGTTCATTACTGCAAAAAGTAATAAATCAGGGATTAGAGGTACATGCAGTAATAAATTTATGTGGTGTTTCCACAAACAAAACTATTATAGGTAATACAATAGTTATTTTTTGTCAGTCTAGACCTGAACACTTGCTTAACTACTGAATTTAAAATTAAATTGTATGTAGAGAGCTGCCGTGTTTTCACAATACAACAAATCATCGAAAAGTGTATTTTAACACCGTAAGCTACCTAAATTACTAATAAAGGTCGCTGTCCGTATAAGATGTTCTCGGAATTTTACCAATTTTCAGATTAAAATAACTTTTCGGTTACTATTGATATAATTTTATTATGACATATTTGTGGCAGTCGCAAGAGAGTCGTTATGTTAGGTTACTAGTTGATAAGTGATATTTTCTAATTGCAGTCAAGTTGGCTTTTCAAACACCTGGCCATAATAGGCAAAGCAAAAATAAAAACTGGACTTGTCCATTAGAAAGATCGCGCTAAAACAGCGAGTATTCAAATGCCCAGTCGCATTCAGCGTGTATTATTTGGCCACGCGATGGCAAATTCGAGCTCTAATTATGCCAGGTCAGTAAAACTGTAAAACGAAAACAAAGAAAATATCAAAGTCCAAACAACGTACGTTTCTTTTTATCTAGCCAAGCGTTTGAGATAAATAAAATACGCAACATTTTCATGCAGTCAATGGTCCTTTGAGTTACAGCAGCATTTGATCTGCATGTTCTCAAAGAGGACTGTAGTGGTTCATTGGAACTACAGGACGAGACCTAAACTAGACTCAAATTCCGATTTATAGAGGTACATACTTAATCTTGGACGAGACCTAAACTAGACTCAAATTCAAGATTTATAGAGGTACATACTTAATCTTCGATTTATAGAGGTACATACTTAATCTTGGATATATAGAGGTACATACTTAATCTTGGATATATAGAGGTACATACTTAATCTTGGATTTATAGAGGCTACATACTTAATCTTGGATATATAGAGGTACATACTTAATCTTGGATATATAGAGGTACATACTTAATCTTGGATATATAGAGGTACATACTTAATCTTGGATATATAGAGGTACATACTTAATCTTGGATATATAGAGGTACATACTTAATCTTGGATATATAGAGGTACATACTTAATCTTGGATTTATAGAGGTACATACTTAATCTTGGATATATAGAGGTACATACTTAATCTTGGATTTGTAGAGGTACATACTTAATCTTGGATTTATAGAGGTAGGCTACATACTTAATCTTGGATATATAGAGGTACATACTTCATCTTTGATTTATAGAGGTACATACTTAATCTTGGATATATAGAGGTACATACTTAATCTTGGATTTATAGAGGTACATACTTAATCTTGGATTTATAGAGGTACATACTTAATCTTGGATATATAGAGGTACATACTTAATCTTGGATATATAGAGGTACATACTTAATCTTGGATTTATAGAGGTACATACTTAATCTTGGATATATAGAGGTATATACTTAATCTTGGATATATAGAGGTACATACTTAATCTTGGATATATAGAGGTACATACTTAATCTTGGATATATAGAGGTACATACTTAATCTTGGATATATAGAGGTACATACTTAATCTTGGATTTATAGAGGCTACATACTTAATCTTGGATATATAGAGGTACATACTTAATCTTGGATATATAGAGGTACATACTTAATCTTGGATATATAGAGGTACATACTTAATCTTGGATATATAGAGGTACATACTTAATCTTGGATATATAGAGGTACATACTTAATCTTGGATATATAGAGGTATATACATACTTAATCTTGGATTTGTTGTTTCTCCTCCACTGTTATTCTTGCAAAATCTACTACTTTATTGTCAACAATCGTGATATCATTGATTAAACTGTTCTTCGTCGAGGTCCAGTGTGAGAAGACACTAAACTAAGCTAACTTCACGATAAGTTCTCATAGTCAGATGAATTAACATGGTCAATTGAGCGTTGCTTGATTGTATGCCGGAAATGTGCAAACATGCACCTCGTTTATTTTCGCTCGCGTATAAACCTGCATTAATCTTCACCAGTGTATTAAATTTTTATAGCACCAATGTCAATGAAGACTGGACTTGGATCGAAAGCTTCGCTAAAACCGAGGCAAAGAAGTAAACGTGTCGACAAAACAAAACAAACCAATTATATGCACTTTTACCACGCTAATGTACAAGATCAATTAACCCTATTGACGTATTGTGGTTTATTTCAATGGTATCAAGATAATAAAAATCTTTAAAAAGCAAAATACTCTAATTTTTTTCTATTTTATGTGGTAAACGCGTTAACCATAAAAATGATCTAACATACGCCCCTCAATTATTGAAAAACAAAAGCAAATAGAAATATTTGGAAAGTTCGGTATACTATATCTTCATCTTGCTATAGGCTCAGATTCCAGCCGTTGGTTTCTCGGCACTTGCCTGAATGTTTCACAGAGTTCTGTCTTCTGTAATCTGGCAACGAATTTAAGTCTCCATTTTTTAGGCAGAAAGAACATGATGTAAAATTGTAAAAGAAATTCCTGGCAACTTTTTTAACTTATCTTTTTTCGCGTTCTCGAGATATTACATATAGTTTCATTTGATAAAGGCAAAAAGTTCAATTCCAACAGACAGGATTACTCCTCCACAAGCTGCAATTGTTAGCTATACATGCACTATTGAATATCGTGTTCCAACATCATGGCCGGCTTATTTTCGCTTGTATAAATGGCCCTGTTATAGTCATTTTCAAAAGATATTGTGTGCAGCACGTATTATTTCGCAGACGCGACGCAAGTTGTCGATCCGAACTCATTTTCGTAGTTTTTAACGATAATTATGGGTATATTTAGCGAAAATCTTACTGCATGTCGGAAAGAACATTTTTTAAGTCCAGAGTGTAGTCCAAAATCC